AAGTAACATTACTAATGTTTCTTACGCAATATTATTGCAAATCAATGAAATTTTTTTAAAATGATGTTGATTTTTATTTTTCTACAAGTTATTTTCCTTTAATTTTCACGCTTATTCAATAAATTCTATAATGATTCTTCAATTTCATACATTTTTTTATTATTTCAAACTAATTACCATTCAAATAAAATATATGATGATTATTAAAGTCTTCTATTAAAAAATATTATAAATAAATAGCATTGCCCAGTATTAAAATTCCATTTTTGCCTAACAATACAATTCTCGTTCGTTTCATGATTAAAATAAAAAAAAAAGTCTTTAAAAATTTCGCCAACTGCCTCTTTCTCGAATAAACATTACGTGGCGATTGTAGACAAAGATACGAGAAATCATGTTATGCGTATTATCACTTGTATGCCGAACACGTCTAATGGCTGCGATAAAAGTAAACAGCAAAGATAAGATGCGCGAGGAAATTTCAAAATCGCATCTAACAATTGAAATGTTGCTCGGGTACTGCGAAACGCATATAATGATGCACACACGCGATTAATTTTTTTTCATCGAAAATAAAACAGCGAACGCGACGACATTTCTTTATCGAAATTCTCGACAAGATAACGATGCGAGCGGTTGGAAAAAAAAAAAAAAAAAAAAAAAAAACGTTGATTTATAATTCACATGTCCGTTGCATAATGAAAATAAATCGTACATGCACGAATCGAGTCGAAGTGGATTTTTGGACGATGTTTTCGTTGCACCGTATATACAATGGCTCCGTGTGAAGAAAACAAAAAGTAACGACTCGCCCAAGTATGTTTTCCTCATAAACAATAAACGATCACACGGCGTTTCCTCTAAAAAAACTTTTACCGTTCGTTTGATTGCATAATCATTACAACTAGTCTCCCTCGTATATTACCGCACGCTTTATCGGTTCATCCGATGCATCACTGGAAATTTACATTTTTCATCACTCAAGTCGAATTCGCGCGATAAGAGAATAATAAATAGCCGGCGTCTCGCTGCTCGTACGATGCTACCTCTAAACACACGTGTTTAACGCGGAGCGCAACGATTTTAATCAAGCAAGGGACTACGTAATGTATGCAGTACTTGTTTGTCGAAAGTGCCACTGAAAGTATAATTTTAGTTCTCTTTAATTGAGTCGAAAATCGGAAAGATACACCGAGAGCCATTGACAATTTATTATACTTTTGTACTTAATCTGTAACGCGTTAAATTAGCAAAATCCATTAGCCGTTAAACTATCGGGGAAGTGAAACATGGACGTTAATAGAAATAATCGTGGGGAGTTTGGTTTTTTCGCTCCAATCGCGGTTCTCCTAATGAATTGATAAGAAAGTGGAGTATCAGTAGGTCATCATTAAAATTCCTGTCGAGGGAGGAGGAAAAAAAAAACCCAACTGCCGCTTGATTTAAAATTCATATCTGCAAAAAAATCGGAGCAGATTCAAACATACATACGCTCCTCCATAGTCGATTCAACAATTTTTGGTAAGTATTGTTGATGAAATAAAATAGTCGAGAGGCACCCACTCGCAGCTCGGATGGCAGATCGCGATAACACGTCGGACCCGATGCCCGGATAAATATACCGAGTAAAAAGTGGAACGAAAAAAAAAAAAAAAAAAAATGAACACATTCCTCTATAGCTCGGGAAACAAAAAAAAAGACAGAATTGCTGACTGCGGATGCCTGTAGAATTGATTATGGGTATCGAAATCGTTGTACGAAAAAAAAAAAAAAAAAAAAAAAAAAAAAAGATGGAAAATGGAAAAAAAAACTACTCACCAAAAAATCAAGCTGCTAAGAAAACTCGCCTCCAGCCTCGGGCTCGGCTTCTTCTTCTGACCCATCTCTCTCTCTCTTTTGTGAACACGCACGGACGATGTTAGGTACGGATGCACGGGTGTGCGTGGAAAAATCCAAATTCTCCTGAACCTCCGGAGCACAGCACCGAATTCATTCACACACGCGCACGACTATAGGTGGGAATTTATTTTACACATTGTGGAAGAAAAAAATTAAAAAAAATAAAAAAAATGAAAAAAAAATAATAATGAAACAAAACACAAATAATATTTGAAAACACGTTCATCAGCTCGGAGTCATTGTTCTACGCAGCATTTGCGCCGTGACCGGCTATCTTTAAACGCACTGCTCTCTGGTGTGTACCTAAACTATACGGGTATCTGTACGGGAGAAAACACTGTCCGATGCACTGATGTGCTGAATGTATACAACACAAGACCCGAGATCGGATATCGTAGCTTGTGGGTGGCGGCGACGATACTAACCGAGCTCTGGCCTCTCGTGAGTGTGCGCCAAAGAAAAAAAAAAAAAAAAAAAAAAAAAAACCGAAAACTCGCATATACTCACTCGTCGACGACGATGATCGTTTGTATATACGCATCATTGGATTGGTACGTCTGTGTTGGGTATACGCTTGTGTATATGTGCACGTAAGACGGGAAAAAGAGGATGGATGTAACGTAGAGAGAGAGAGAGAGAGAGAGATAAGAGTTCTCTCTTTCTCTGCTGTAGGATGATACGAATGCGGATGTCGTTGTGCCGGTAATTTTACTCATAAACGTAAGTATATGATTGGGTGATTTAATTGTTTAAGTTCATGTGCACGTGGATGGGGCGAGAAAATATATATATTATATTGTACGTGGGGTTGTGCCAAGTACAAAGATCGGTATGCCGATCGTTATCAAAAAATATTAACTTTTGCAAATTCATGCACGATCAAGTTACTCATATTACCTTTCATTTTAAACACTATATGTTATGTACTTTACGAGTAGTGTATTGTATTATATACACTTTTTTTTTTGACACTTGTTGCTACCATCAAGCTGGTATTTGTATATGTCGTGCGAGCGTTCACGGGTGAAAATCGGTTTGACATTCGTCAGGCGTCCCAAATAAAGTGTACGAGGAGATTTGTAGTTTTTGTGTGTATCTTTATTTATTCGATGCGATGGGTTTTCAAAGATACATGCCAATAAAGATAAAACATTTCTGTGCGGTATTTTAAATAAAAAACCAAAATGAGGTATGGAAATAATTAACCAAACTTGATATTTAATAACATTAAAACAGACTGGTAGTTTGACGTCATAGCAATCGTACATTTAATGTAAAAAAAAAAAAATATATTAACGACGCTATCCAAGTTTCTTTTATAAGGTATGCTCATAATTTCGTAAGAAATAACTGTTTGATTCAGTTTTGAAAATGTTTTAAAAATTCTTTGCGATACTGTTTAATAAATACTCACACACACACACGCGCGCGCGCGTATAGTACATGTTTAATAGCTATACAATGACAAATTAATTAAAGATTCAATAAACAAAAACTATATATATTTCAATAATAGTTTAAAGCACAAATTATTTAAAAAAAATGTTTTTTTAACTAAATTATGGTTCAATATGATTGTTTGGTACACGCATTAGTATAAATAATCAAAGCAAAGTATAACCAGGTGTATATGTATTATATGTATAGGTTATTGAGACAAACTGGTAGGAGAAAAGTAATAATGTTGTATGAAAATATTAATCAATAAATCGATTATACAAAAATTGATTTTCATTATTTTCCTTTTAAATTGTGAAAATTTTTTTACTACTAAACAGTGACTTGTGGGAAGCGCATTGTTTATTTATAGATTTATTTATAGATTTGACCGGCCAGAGGCTCAATATTACAAAATAAATAACAAAATAAGTGTACTTGTCGAGCCCAGCACGAGCTGACAAAGTTTACAAGAGGTGTATGGTGTGTTAAGCGTGAAAAAACTATGATATAAAACAAAAAACAACACTGGTAAAAAAATATAAAAATGAGTACTAATTTAGGTTACTTATAGAGAATATAAATTTTTAAGTAGTGTAGTAGTGTATACGAATGTAATGTACAAGGGAAGTGTTTAATACAAAATATTTATTTTGTACAACAATACTTAATAATTAATGTGGGTGATGTGTGATGGACAAAATGAAGGGTGCACTGATTCAATCGCTAAATTCACATTTTCCACCACAAAAATTACTCTTATGATAAAATCGCTTCTTGCAAAACATCGATAGTAAAAATCGACTCTCGAAATTTCGAGAGGCGACTTTGTCAGAAATCGATGAGTTGAATCGCCCATCCCATCCCTTCCACTTCCACTGTACCCAGCAGAAGCACTCTCCGACACTGAAAAGACCTTACATTTATATATATACATATCTCTAAGGAAAAGACAGTAGAGCGCAGACTTTGGACGAGAGTACGTATATACATATATACACATCGGAGTCGAAGAGAAGAAGGAAGCCGTCCCTCGCGCGCCCATCTAAAGTATTTTTTCTCATCGAAATTTTCCAGGAAACAAAGTGCGCTCCTATAGACACGTAAACAATAAAAAATCAAACGACAACAATTACAATCACTTCGACTTACAGCCAATTTATCGCACAGTTGCAGTTGCCCGCACACACTCTGCACGCGCCACTTCTCTTTCTCTCTCCCGCATATAATTTCGATAAACGCCGGACTACCAGAGGAAGAAGAAGAGTTGTCTCAACACCCCCCGACGTGGACGAAACGGTCGGACAACGATTTTTCTCTCTCCGGATTTATCCATGGTGTATTAGGTATATGTTTATTTCCATACGTACTCAGTTATGAGCTTGCAGTCTTGCACCCTCGGGAACTACTGGACAGTTGCATGTGCATGGCTGTGTGTAACATGTAAGGGTATTTGGTCTTATTAGCAAGATTATCCTGTCCAACTTTTTGCAGCATCCCTCTCGAGGACTGGAGATTGAAAGGGAGCCAGGAAGACTTGGAGGGACGAGCGAGCGAGGGCTTCTCTTCCTTTTTTTTTTTTTTTTTTTTTTTTTTGTTTACCACTGCGACTCCACGCATAGATTTGGAGGGTAAGTGAAGAAACAATGCATTAATACACGAGTATGTAATTACACCTTATCATGTATTTAATATCTGTGTATACATATTACGTAGGTGAAGGTGCACATTTGTGAGTAAACGCCCATTTAAGCTGAGCGTTGCAAAAGCTCCGATTTCCTTCTGATAATAATTTGGAGTTGGCATTGTAGGTTATTCATTACTTACCGAGAAAAAAGAAAAGAAATAATAATAATATATACCTGTACCTAGTGTGACAACAAAACCGCTTACCGGTAATATCGCTATCGCATTCTTTTGTCTCATATCTCTCTCTTTCTTCCATCTCTTTTGTAAAACTATTATCTGATGCATCGTCCGTTATTGTACTTATTGACGCTAAACCCTGATTCGTGAAACGTCACTTGCTCTGTCCTTTTACCTATGTATAGCGCACATGCACACGACTATATGTATGTACATCCATATGAACACGTAATATATACATTGGGGGATTGGGGTCCTCCAGCCTCCTCGTGTTTGTCCTGCACACCCAAGTATTATTTAAAGTAAGTGTTTATTTTTCTTTCCTATTCAAAAATGATTGCTATATGGATGCTGTCATTTTGATATTCGTGTACACACCTACTTACAACGCATTTTTTTCATGGAACTTCAACTTTTAAACAGAGAAAGAGATAGAGAAAGCTCTCTCCCGGCGCGAGGTAGAGTTATTGACTCTTTTTCTGGATTTTTCAAACTTGTTGAGAGATAATGACCTTTGTTTTGTGTGCTGCTTAGTTTTATCATTTTTGCAACTTGAAAGTTTTGGAGTGACGACGAATGTCGTATCTTTCTTTTTTCAAACAAACCGAGTTTTTTTTTGGGTTAGTGTACATGTTCTGTGCAGTGGCTAGTTATTCCCTCTACAGTTTGCAAACTCCATTTAAAAAAAATTGTAATTCTTCGTAGTTTTTTTATTTATTAACTGTATTTAATGCAGGAACAGAAAGAATAGACTTGTATAGGATGCACATAAAAATTTTTATTGAAGATTGACTTTATTGATTGTAGTATATATATAGTACATATATAGTATAATCTATAAATATTTTACTTTCATTGAAATGCGTATTGATGTGTCTTTATTAAGACTTTAAACTACCATATCTTTCGACAATATCGTCCAATATAATGCCATCCGTTATATTCAGCGTTGGCAGTGTAACCTCGGAAAGTGTTTTGGAATCTCTGAAAAATTAAATGACAGTATAGTAGGATATGAATTTATCAAGTTGATATTAATTTTCAGAGTGAGAGGTGATGCGTCCCATGCAGCAGGCGCCGATGGCTCCTACTCATCAGCCACTGCACCCACATGCACCACATCCACATCGTAGCCATCAACAGTTGCTGTCAATGGCTCCACACCAACAACAGATGCATCATATGCATCATCCTGCCATGACAAACCCTCGATTGATGATGGGTATGAATTCTCCAAATCCTAACAGTGAGTACCTTGCTTTCTGTTATCCTGTACCCGTTTATTGTTTAATTAACTATCATTTTACTTTTTTTCTGCATCTTGCCCTTACATGGAAAATATATTTGCTGTTGGATGCTTGTGTTTCTCCTTTATGTGCTGACGTTTCTTTTTTTTTATTGATTATTATTTAATGCATCATGTTTTTACATATTGTCATTTTTCTACGTATTTTCATATTCAAATTAACGTGGTTTATTAATTTCCTTCATTAAGCAAATAACTGCGAGAAAATAAAGTATTAATGTTATGTTTATGTCAAAAAAGCATTGATTACCTTTCTTGTATCTATATTTTATACAGATACATATTTATTAAATTTACTCAAGTTACATTTTGTTTATTTTATTTACGAGAAAGTTACTCAATGTTTTTGTGTAGGTGATGGTAAAAAGTATCGAAAATAACGTTGTTTTTTTTTCGCTAATTCTAACTTTCAAAATCTAACAAGTGAATATTAAATGCAAACTTTGAAATATTCAAATGGTTGAAGACTAAATTAATAAACTATTTATTGAATTTGAACAAAAATCAGGGGTATATTTGTTATATGCATTACTTATAGTGTTAAAGTAGATGTATGTTGTATTGATTGATTTATTGTAAAATTTACAAACATTTTATAACGCACATTAGTTGCCTTACACTTTCAATTTTCCAAAGGAGAAACTTTGCGACAAACGCGTTAGCTAGTTCACTGTCACGATTGTTGTGCTTACTTTTTTTTTCATTAGAGTATTCCCGTGGTATTTTAATCACGGTTTTCGTGATGATTCTACTGCTATGTGGTGCAAATGCAAAGGTTCACCGAGCATCGCTTGTAGATAGTGATTATGAAAACTTGCACCTTTTGTTTGGACCAAGTGGGTGCATTACAGGTCTGTTTTTTAATTTCAGGATTTACAAGCAAAAGAAAAAAAATATGAATGACCATGAAAAGTAAATTTGTCTCGAATTGGAGCAATCGTTGTCTAGAGATTCAATGTTTTTTTTTATCAGCCTCTCAGTTTGAATTATTTATAGATATTGGTTCTTCAGAAAAATCATTTCACAAATTTACCTAAAGAATCACAATCACACATACCTATGCCTGATAACAATTTATTGAATTAACAATTTAATGCATGCCATTGTACATGAATATAATGATAAGTTTACTTTGCCTGTTTATTATGTAATTTTTTTTTTTAATTTTCACAACGATTTAAAAACTCTATCTATCTCAATATTTGAAAATATTTGAGTATCGACAAATGCAAGTTTTTAATAATCCGTAATTGAGTATTTTAGGCACATTAATAGGTATGGGCATGAAAGATCCACAAAATGCTATCCCTTTGGCTCTCCAAAATCATCCACCAATGCAACAGCATCAGCACCAACAGTCACGTTTGCAACAGATACCTCAAAATGTGGAACAAAAGAAGAATGATGATTCTGGTAACACTCTAGCGAAACTGATTAAAAAAAAAAAAAAAAAAATTTCTCGAAACAGTCTTATATATTCTTTCATTGTATAAAAATCTAGGAGAGTCGAAAAACGACGAATCAGCAAACCAGCAGCAGAGCCAGGGTAACTCAACCAACTCAAATCTGGCAAATACGCGCGAGAAAACGCCAATGTGCCTGGTAAACGAGCTGGCCAGGTTCAACAAGATCCAGCACCAATACAGGTTAACGAACGAGCAGGGCCCAGCTCACAAGAAACGTTTTACCGTCACTCTAATGCTCGGTGAAGAGGAATACGTGGCCGAAGGTCCGAGCATCAAAAAAGCCCAGCACAGTGCCGCCAGCGATGCTCTTGCCAAAACGTGGTACAGAAAGCCACCACCCAAGCCAACGAGAACCATGAAGATATACGGAAAAAGTCCTGGTGGCTCGGGAGGTCACCTTCCACCTACTGTAGAACTGAACGCTTTGGCGATGAAGCGTGGCGAGCCTACAGTTTACACATTCAGGCATGCACCACCAGCTATGTCAACACCGCCCCAACAGTTCATGCCTCACGCATATGGAAACTTTAGCCACCTTCGTATGTTTAATCCACGATATGCAGCGTACAATCGTGGCTATCATCCTGAGCCTCAGGGCATGTACCTAGTGTCGCTTAAAGTGGGCGAGCGCGAGTTTATTGGCCGAGGGATGACTGGTCAGGCAGCGCGACACGATGCAGCTAGCCGAGCTCTAGAACAGCTACGCCAACTGCCTCTGCCTGAAGAAATAAACACGGCAACCAGTACTCCCCAAAGCGAAGATACATCCAGTGGGAATGGCGGTATCGACGATCCTAATGCCGAGCTTAAGAGTTCAGTATCACTGGTACACGAGACCGCACTCAAAAGAGGCTTGTCAGTTAGTTTTGATGTTGTGTCCGAGACTGGGAAACCACACATCAGAACGTTCATGACTAGGTGTACAGTTGGTGATAAAGTTACCCTGGGCGAAGGTTCATCAAAAAAAGTATGATTGAATTGATTTATCAACAAAAAAATCTTAAATACTTAATTTTGAGGCAACTAATTGATCAATTTCAGGTCTCAAAGAAACGTGCTGCTGAGCTAATGTTGGAAGAGCTCAAGCGACTGCCACCAATTCCTGCTCCCATTCAAAATCGTACGATACGCCTGAAACGCAAGCCACCAGCAACTAAAAAGAAGTCGCGCAATCTCATCAAAGTTTACCAAGAACCTCGTACAGAGTCCGAAGGAGCTGACGAAGTAAATCCGATTTCTCGGCTCGTTCAAATTCAACAGTGCAACCGCGAACGCGAGCCTGTCTACAATCTGATCGAGGAGAAAGGTGCTCCTAGGCGGCGTGAGTTCGTGATGGGGGTTTCTGTTGGGCAGTACTCTGCTCAGGGCACAGGCCCGAATAAAAAATTGGCCAAAAAAGCCGCTGCCGAGGCCTTGTTGAATATACTGGGTTACAGCAAACCTCAACCTCAGCCTGTTAAGCCATCCATTAAAACAAGTACTGCCGGTGGAACCAACAGTGCCGAGAGCAAAGAAAAAGAACAAAGGAAAGTCACTTTTGTTGAAGTTGATAACAGCAACGAAACTACTCACACCTATCCCCAGGGAGTAATAATTTTTTTTTTTTTTTTTTCTTTATTTCACACATCCTTTAAAAGTATTTAAATCCAGGGACCTTTGGAGTAAAATATATTTTGTTAAAGGTACTCTCGGGCGTCAGCTAGTTCCTGGACTACTTTTGGTGGACAACGGATTGGAATCTAAAGTTGTCAGTGGACCAAGCGTTCAAGTTGTTGCCGAAGAATTACGTGGACAGCAGCAACCACAATCATCCGGTGTTTCTCCAAAGGACCAACTCAAGTACCTTGCACAGTTGCTAAATTTTGAAGTTGAATTCAGTGATTTTCCAAAGGTGTGTATTTTTATAATTAGATATACATAAAAAAAGCGTTATTGTCTTGATGCAATGAATAATAAATGTAATGAACTTTCAGGGAACGTACAAAGAGTATCTGTCACTCGTCTCGCTGAGTACAGATCCTCCGCAGGTTTGCCACGGCCATGGTCCAACAAAGAACGCCAGTCGTGACCAAGCAGCCCTCACGGCATTGCGAACCCTTAGTAAAATGGGCCTCGACAGCGTCACCAATTCAGGCACCAAAAAAGACAATAAATCTTGTAATTCTGCTGGGTCTAGCGATACCCCAGGTATGAACAATTATAAACCACAATTAAAAACCAACAATGTCATTAACGGCGCGTTAGAAAAGTGAAATCGAAGCTTTTCTTTATTTATTTATGATTATTTTCTTAAGTTTTCTCCTTTACATAATTTAAAAACGTTTCTCTTTTTTTAATTTAAATTCCAACTATCACGCGTTCAACAAAGAGTATAATTTCAATAGTGTGTTTTAATAATTTTTACAAAAAAAATAATGAAAAAAAGTTCACAAAACAAACTTATTTTATTTCATTTTATTTTTCAAACGAACTTTTGATCGCACATGTATGCTAAAGTCAACACGCATCTCAAACATTGGTACAAATAACTATGAATTTTTTTAAATATTCCATTTAAAAAAAACATGTGCTGTCGGGAATTCGAATGTCACTGAACGCGTCGTTGTTGATTGTTTGAGTGTTGCCTATTAAAATAAAATTCTTTATATATCATACAATACATACATCAACACTCAAACTTCATCAATCTTTGCTTTAAATTTTTACTATACTTTCTTAAACTCTCGATATGAGAAAAAGATGTTCAAACGATAAATTTAATCATTGATAACGTTATTGTATCGCTGTATTTATCACCACTAAAGTGACACTGTGAAGCGTAGACTTACTTTGCAGATGATTTCTAGCTTGATGCGAGAAACAAATCAAAGAGAGATGAGAGAACAGAGTGAATTTCTGATTATTTTTATGTAAATGTCGAGTTACGTATGTTAAAAGAGAGCAATGACTGCAAAGTAAGCCTACTGGTATGGATTTTAGTACCTATTATGCGATTAATCGTCATGTCAAGGTGAATAACTATTTTTTCTTTTTAATTATGATTTGATTTCATTTTCTAATGAAAAAGATGAAAAAAACAATAAAAAAAAAAAAAACGATAAAAAGGTCGCTGTTTGGATGACGATGAGAAAAAATAACCAAGGCTGATAACTCGAGTCTGTCATTGTCATGAATGTAATTCAAGCTACGTCTGAATACCTGCATGTGAAAAAAAATTAATTCGACGCCTAAATGAATTTTTTTTGCTTTCTTATTAATTTGTGCTTTTAAAGGGCATAAGTATACATTTAGATAAAAATGTTTAGGGAAAAAAATTATTTCTAAAAAAAGTAATTTTTCACATATTTCGATATAAGATGATTATCTTGTCGGTCCCAAACTTCTCTGGGCCTCGAAGCATTTTGGGAGCGATTATGTTCATGTTAATGAATGCTACGTTTGGCATTTTTGCAACCCGAGTCTAACAAACAAGTATGAATTGTACAAGCGCGCGCGAAAAATCAACAAATACATAAGGAAAAAGAAAAAAAAAAAAAAACGAATCCTAAGAGTTTGAAATTTTCTCGAGCCACTCGTCGAACCGGATTCTCAATACAAAAGTGCCGTGGCTCGTGCGTGTACAGAAAATTTCAAAGCAAGAACGGAACATACGACACTGTTTTTTCTATTAGGAACTTAATAAAAAATACATTAATAATGAGTGTAATAGAAATCAATTGCACCTCGATCGAATCAATATCTCGAAATTCTTCCACGTTGTGTTGGGATTTGAGCGTGACCTACTATACTGGACATGATGAAATTTATCATAAATTAATATTATACACATTGTATGCACGACAAAAAACACGATTATGAGTCGCTGCAAGATGCAAAATTCTGAGACAACGTCGAATTTTGACCTATTGGCCCAATTAATCTTGAAATTGGAGCTCGTGAGCTTCAAAGAAGAGAAATACAGAAAAAAATCTTTATACAAATGTTTCGAAAGTCGGTACAAAAAATGGCTTCAACCGATTTTTTTCTCTTACACAAACCCAAAGTATTTTCTAGCTAGTAGTGTAATATTTTGTTATTGCCACTTTTAGCTGATGCCTTTTTTTTATCAGTAGAATTTAATTTGTTGCTAGCAAAAAAATAGAGTGGTAAAAACGCACATAATACATAGTAAAGGAGCAATGAAATAATAATCGTCACGAAAAATGAAACTTACTGCTAGTGTGAATATTTTTCTGATTGTACTGAAAATATATTACAAGAACGTACCGACGGCTTCGATCCAGTAATCCTATCTTGTATTCATTATTCTTATGGCAAATATTGTACACACACGTATATATACCTATAACCAATTCTACTCTGAATCCAATTTTTAAAAAAAGGCACATGTAATCAAGACGAAATTGCAAATTGAAGCAAAGAAAGAATTTTGCAATATTTCATATTATTTGATATCAAGTAATTTCTACTCTCTTTTTTCCTAGCTAAGGTAGAGCTATACTACATATTTTAGTCGCTTTCATGTAATCGCTCCCGGTTTGATCTTCATGAAACTTTTACGACTCCGTTGATAAAATTGTAGATACATTTTACTTTGATTGAATCGACGCGAATTACAATCAAAAAGAAAAATTACGTTGTCTTTTTTATTTCAATATTTCATAAACGACGAATTACCGTAATTTTTTACTTTCGTATTATTGCACTTTTCACAATTATTATTAAAATTCTGTGAAAACGTAATTTTTCTTGGCGATTGTCAAAATTATAAATCGCGAAGAAAATGAACTTTAAAATATGAGCGAAAAAACGATTATTTATTATCAAGTCGAGTTGTAAAAATTTTATTAAGACTAGAGCTGAAATAAGATTTTTAAAACATAAAAAGTATAGACCTACCTTAAAAACAAAGTACTCTTAATTAATTAATGAAGAAAAAACATTGAAAAAGCATCAGTGCGCCATCGCGCTGTTGAGATGATATGACTTTTTCTTACTTCTCTTATTAGTAGTCAAGTTTTTCGTCTCTATCTAACGTACATTGTACAGGTATTTCTATACTTAATTTTTTTCTTTTTTCATCTTCAAAGATTAATTTTTTTACACGTAGATATGCGTATATCAAGTTAAGAAGAAAAAGCCTATTTGATGAATAATTTCCTTTTTCCGAGTATTGCTTCGCGATTGTACCGTTGGTTTAAACCTCTCTTTTTGTAGTAATAAAATGCTAATTGTGATTTGTGTGAGCGTTTTCTAGTTATTGCCTTGTAATCGAGCGAAGAATTTCTTTTTGGTCATGCTGTTTTCAGAATTTTTTATATTCGAGTGTCTTTGCTTTGTGCGTACGTTTTAAAATTTAATGAAGAAAAAAAAAATTTATTTATTTATAAATTTCAAAAGTGATATTATTAGACGATATTGTAAGGATTTGTATTTTGTTAGCTAGTGTTTATAAATTAATATGCGAAGCTTATTCTGGTGAAAGTATTTGTAAAAAAAATATTACTTTTGAAATTTGATTCTAAAAGAGCGTGACCAACAAATGAAAAGGCATCCGGTGAGTTGAAACAAAAAAAAAGTTAGGTTTATTTCGTCGATAAAAAAAAAGCACGATCCTGCATGTAAATAAATGATACAAATGCGATATTGCGATTATCACAATGCGATGTGCACCATGTTATTACGCCCACCGATACACACAACACACGCTTTGCAGGATGTTAAGGAAAAATGATTATTCAATCGAATAAGGTGGTGAGGCTGCGTTATTTTTCTGTCGCCTCGTTCAAAAAAGAAAGAAAAATGATAAAACGAACGAGTGTGCCAAGTTTGTATTTCCAAAAATAAACAGTTGAAAAAATTGCTTTTACTTAAATTTCTTTTATTAATCTTACAACATTCCACTCTTTGTTGTCATTATTTATCATTATAAGGCATAGCGTATAAACTTTGGCTGAGCATTCAAGTTTGATATAGTAATTCATGTTTTGCTTGTAAAAAATTTTATTAGATAAGAAACTTAAAAATACTTATTAGGATATCTTTATTTTTACAATTTAGTATTTTTTTTCTGTGATAATAAATAGAAAAAATTTAAGTACATGAAAAGTGACAAAGGACTGCAGCAAAAAATACAGGAATAAAAAACTACCACACAAGCTTCCAAGCCCAATCAACGTGTCTTCGATTCGTTGCAGGGAAGCTTATATTTTCTAAAAATAGCATGAATGCA